TTGCACTTTCTATTTTGTACTTTCCCTACTTTTATGCTTAACCAATACTTGCATACAACACTTAACCTTCTTTCGAAACTGTCTGCTCGTTAAGCGCCTTAGCAGACCAACAGGCGGAATGCATTTCATTTCTGTTCACCTTCATGTCGTTTACGGTATTTATGATGCAATTTCTGTTATTGTTGTTGTTACTTTTCAGTTACTTATACTTTTTTTTTGTTTTTTTTATGCTTTGCTTTTTTTGTTACTATTGTGTTTTGTTTATTGTTGTTATTGTTATTATTTCATTTAAGAAATTGTTTCATTTTCTTGCCGTTTCTTACTTGACTTCTATTTTGTTGATATGATTGTGTGCCTCTTTTTTTTGTTTTTGTGATTGTTGTTATTGTTATTGTGGGTACATAGTTGTTGTTTTGTATACTGTAAAGTCATAAAGCTGAATTATGAAATTTTAAGTTGACAGCACAGGAGCAAAGACCAGTGACCAAAGCAGATCTGTGCAAAATTGAAATAGTTTTCTTTAGTTGTTTTCGTTTTTTAATACTTCATTGTTTGTCTTCCCTTTGGAACTTAAGCAGTCTACTAATTTCTTTAACTTAAAATTCTTTTTTTTTTGTTTTTACTAATATTTTTACTTCCTTGTCATTTTTGTTGTTGTGCTTTTCTGGATTTTTGTTGTTTGTGGTTGAAAATTTGCATTTTAATTGTGTTTTCTTTAAATTGTTTTGCTATTATTTATGTTGTTGTTTTTGTGCCAGTAGTGCTACTCATAATTGTTGTAGTTACTTTTATTGTTGTTGTTGCTGTTGTTGTTAGTGCTGCATGCCACCACAGAAGCAATTCTTTGGCTTCTTCATTATTGTTATTACTATTTTACATTTACATTTTATTCTAGTCGAAGAGTGTTAGCAGTGGCTATTGTTGTTATTATAGCTGTTGTTGTTGTGGAAGAAATAGTAGTTGTTGTTTTTGTTTTTGCTTTTTATTTATGCATTAAGTCAGGAAAATAGTTTCTCATTTGTTATGGTTAATATAGTTACGAAGTTTTTATTGCTTCTTACGGATTTTGTGTAATTATTCCATTTAGAATGTTACTCATACGCCTCGGTAGCAAGGAATTCTGCTTTGTTTATCTTTTGTTTGTTTTTAAGTAATTTTCTTGTTTATTTTTTGAATTTTTTTTTTTATAAGTGAAATGATTTCTTTTTTTCTTTTTTTTTTTTTAATAAAAACCACTTTTGTATTTTAAAATTTTTTTTTTCCTTAATTGCGATTTGAAGTCGTTAGCGTGTACTGTCCTTTAGGCAGCACCGCGCATGTATATATTTTTGTTGGTCGCTCTTTTTAGAACAAAAATTAGCAAATTTATAATTATTTTATTTTATTTGTGGTTAATTTTAATTTTTCTGAAAATCAGAAAAAATTTGGAGCAGAAATTGCCATTGTGCGTTGTCGTTGTAAAACAGTTTTAAGATATTTTCGTAACCAACGAAACACACGTAAAAGTTCAATGACCACAGAATTAAATGGCATTGCATGCGTAAAAAAATTAACTTAATTATTACATTTCAATAACATAATTATACATGCATAAAGTTTTAACCCACTGAAAAAGCTACTAAAACATTGATATCAAAGCCCTGTATAAAGCTTTGAAGCTCTTAAAAGCTCAAATACATGAACGCCGCCTCCAAAGGTGCTGATTTTATGATGCGCGCGAAGATCAAATGATACTCTTGTCATCATTTTTACTCTCTCTGAATGTATTGAAACTCACAGTGTGAGACTTTAACCAACTAAAACTTGCTCTTAGGTATGCTAAATGGACATATTGCAGACATTGGACCGTAAAACTTCATTTCAGTATTTTAGACAAAAACTACTAAGCTAAAATTGTAAACAAGTGAGTGTATGACAAAAGGATGTTCTTACTAGGTAGCAATCACCTACTAAGAGCAAACTCTGTGCAGAGGGTTATAACCACGAATGTAGAGAGGGATTACAGAAAGGTAGTCACATAAAAAGTTAAGTAAAGCGCAATTAGTATGTTTTCTGCTTTGAAAAGTAAACACACAAATATATTAAATTAGGTCCGATTATATTGGCGATTCCAAATAACCACTTAAGCCTATTGGCCTATGTTATATTATAAGAAACTCAGAGATTCAAATACAACTTTGAACCTTTGATAAAGCTTGATAAAGCTCTTTAGCGGAAGTTGTTAGACCTGGTTAAGATCCTTAAAAAATAAAGCCCCTAAAATAATAAATCGGCCCTTTGCACACGTTGGTCGGTAACAAAGCAGATGTAATGCACGTTCATCTTCCTCTCCACAAATGCAATAGGTTTGATTTTCTAATCGGCTGTGACTCATCAACAGAACCTACAATAAAATTAAAAAAAAATTAACTCCAAATTCGCAAAAAACTATCTATTGTCAATGCATTTAAGTTTATAAAAGTGAAACATATAAAATATATATATGAAAAATATACATAAATTTAAAATAAAATATATTATTTTAGTTTTTATTGTGTATATGTGTCTATTTCCATTACCAATTAAATTTAAATTTAATTAAACACACCATAATATGAATTAGCAGTTGTATTATTTAGTATTTGGCAAAACCAAATTAATTTTTATTCAATGTGATTGAAATATTTTTTTGGATTAAACGCCTTTTTCAAACAAATGTTGCATATATGAATCTTTAGGCAGTGAAGGCCTTTCCATCAATTCTTCTATACCTATCAGCCTACATATATATATGCATACATTTGTATTGTAATGACATTAGATAGCATATTTTTACTCTAATAAAGTACAATATTTAAAATAATAAACGCAAACTATAGTTAAAATAATTTTAATGGAATTATTTATTAACTGTTGTTTTTAACAGCAGGTTTAAATAAATAGATTTTATATTTTGGAGATGCTCGATCAGTTCATCTCCGAATAAGGTGTACAAAGACGTTTTATATTGTGTATGTACCTTAATCAATTATTTCACATATTAGTCAATTGTAAGAAAACTAAGTAAAGAACTAAAAATTCTGAAAATTACATAACCTCACTCCATCATTATGAAAGAGTAATGTCAATACTTTAATATAAATGCGACATCTGAGTGAGTATATAAGAAGAAAACTTTTTTTTTATTATATGCCCTTTCTGCTCTATTTTTTTAACACTAAAGTGCTTGGATACGATATTCCAAGCCACTTAAAGAAAAATCAAAGCTTTGATATCGGATTTCTCTATGCTTTACCCAGCACCTCCAGCGTAAAGAGTGTGCACACCTGACAACATCTATGGTAAGAGAATGCTCAACATTAGACATTATAAGACTCTACTATGAATTAGTAGATTCAATTTGCAGTTATTGTACTGATAAATAGCTGAGTTCTACTTTGCATAGTGCGGTGCAGTCTGTGGTGCAGATAATAGGTTGACTCCACTTGACCTAAAGAATAGAGTATTCTGCTCTTTGGAATAAGTGATGCCTGATCAGTAAAAAATCGATGTATGGAAGTCTAACACTTTTCATGGAAAAAACATGAATTACCTTCTGCAATAATTTATTGATTTGCGTTTATATAACAGATGGTTTTATGTAGCAGATGAAGATCTTTGTTGACAAATCATAATCTTTCTAGCTTCAGTCCTAAAATCACTGGATCACATTACATCGACCTGTTCTATATGACTCTATGGAAATACCCAAGTAGGCACAATGCTGTATGTATGGTAATCCAACAAAATCTTGCATTCACACAGGGGGTGATCACCGATGCTTGCCCGATTTACTAGTACACCTCAAATGTCGTGATAGAAAACTCCAATTTTCGTAGGTACTGAGATCGATAATTACCTCTATCGGCACTTATATAGTTCGACCAATAGCACACAATAAGCCTAATTTTCTAATTGTTGATAGAAGGGATCATACCTGCTGGTTGTTGCTATTTAGTATAATTGCAACATTGAGCAGAAGCATGCGGTGAAGATAAACAATTTTATACTACTCGCTCGAAAAATCAAAGAACTTTGGAGAGCTGAAGCCGTGGTTGTTGTGCAGATAATATTATTAACTATTAGGATAGTAGTCAAAACCCTCAAACAATCACGTTTTGCGGCATACATGTGTAATGGTAAAGGAAACCATCAACAATCTGTAGAAGGAGCAACAAAAATAATAACACTTCAACAGAGCATAAATTTAAATTTAAAGTATATAAAATCCATTAAGCATTTCTACAACAAATATATAACATCGATTAATCTGGTAAATGAGATGTCTCTAATTTCATTTAGATGAAATCTTCCGACGAAACATTTTTATCACTGTTGTTTTAAAATAAACAGAGTCCATTAGTGTAAAATTTCTGGATGTAAGATGTAAGATGGGAGTAAATCACGCTCCCGCTTACAAAAACATCATCAGATTAAAAAATTATTAGAAACAAATAGAGCAAAAGGACTGAAAGATTAAGTGCAATAAACTGAACTTATTGAACACAATAAGTTTCAAATGTGTATAAAAACATCTACTAATTGTTAAAACAGTTAAATGTCATTATCTATTATCTATCTGTATTTATTATTTTTTTACTTCCTGCTTGACGATAGTCGAAATCTTGACATAAAGATACACAAGCAAAATAGTATCAATCTCCTTTCTGAATTAGATCATATAAATGGTATACAGTAGGTCTGTATGTCTCTTAAGTCCTTGTAATGAAAAACTTTCACATATAGAAAAGAAAATATTTTAAATTCATAGCATGAGTATAATAAATATAAACAAAAACAAATCGAAATATGATATTTCATATCTACATTCTTTTATGTTAGTTTTAAAAATAACTCTGAAAAAGGTTTAGATTGCTTCGTAAGGATATTTATTATTGTGTTTTGCTTGTTTAATCCAATATAATTTTAAATAAAAACGCTGTTTTTCTGCCTGTTTTTGTTCTTTATTATTATGTATTGTTTTTAAAAATATTTGAGTACTATAGTTCATTCCACATAATCATTTAAGAATTGTTAAAAATACACATCAAGCTTTAAGCCATTGTTGAAAATCTTTCTATAATTATTTCAAGTACTTAAAGTATGTAAAATTACATATATTTTATAATAAGATCATTCCGACGTAGTTATTGGCGATCACTGCATAATATACCTACTTATGTTAATGTTATATTTTTAATCATTTTTTTTATTAAGAATTTTAGACTTTAATAGGTCGGTTTTTTTTTCATTCGTATATTCCGAAAATGAAGATCTGGCAAACCCATCACGTCCCATTGTACGCAACTTAATGTCAGACTTTTCAGGGTGAACCAATTCCTAACAAATAACAAAACTTTATTTAAAATATATTATTTTTATAATTGAAATAGTTACCTCCATATGTTTTGTTTTCCTGCTTTCATTTTTTTTGAGACTATCAAGCTGTTGTGATACTTCGCGAAATTCTTTGTACTTAATGGATGCCTTCGTAAGATTGTACTCTTCTATTTCTTGGAGAGCTATTTCATCACTTCTATTTTCTATATTCTCATCTGTCGGGAAAACATAACTTACTGACCAGATAATGTAAATAAATAAAATTAGAAAATTTTTAATTTAATAAGAATTCTTTTTAAGTTCACATTTCACAACCTAGTAACAAGGAACCCACAAAATATAGTACTCAAGTATATATTGTCAGAATAATGTAATGAGTAGTAATCATATAATAATTCAATTGTAATTTAATAATAATCAGACCCAATAATCATATTATTCGTATAATAAACAGATTATATTATATATTAATGCCAGACAGCTTTGATGTTCGTTATTGGAGACATGTGGTTATTAGCCGCAAGGAGTAGAAAACTGTGGTGAAACACTCTCGTCTGATTCCGGCAAAACACAAGTTTTTATGCTACATGCTAGCACTTTTGCTAATTCTTGGCATGGTTTAAACCGTTTTCAATGCTGCTACATTGCACTTTAACCATTCCATTTTTTAGCTTATACTTTAGTTAGTAAATGAAATTTAATTAAGCGATTTATATGCAGAGTAACGTGTTTAATGTAAAATTTAATTATTTTATTTGGGGATGTTGATGACGTGATTTTTCATATTTTTTTCTCTTACCGTTTCTTTTCCTCTCTTTATTTATGTATATGTAAGATGCACTTACAATTGTGTACTACGATGAATTATTTAAATTGTATAAACGAAGCCACGAAGGGTCTCACTTAACGAAATCTTTGATTTAGACAATCTTTACATACTACACATATTCGAAAAAGTCAACGCAGGATCATTAACTTTCTAGTAATAAATTAAAAAAACATTTCTATATCAAATATTACATGAATGCAAATGGAATTGTCCTCTGAGAAGTATAGAACTATATTTTTATTGTTATTATATTTTCGAAATTATAAAGAATTTTAAAGGGAGATTAAAATATAGATTCTAACTTATCATTACATTACTTACTATGATTAGTTGTTTGTTCATCAATTACTTTATGATCGTGTTTTGTGTTATCAGCTTCGCTGTTAATTGCTTCATCCAGAAATTTTAAGCCCTTTTTAGGAACTCCTTTACCAACATATAAATTATGTAAAATTATTCAGCATTCAACAGTCACATATATCAAACCATTATTATAGATCACTTACCACTGTACGAAGGTTTTTCAATAACTTGATCACCAATGAGCTTTATATCTCCCAAGGACTTTGATCCACAAGGTCTTGCTGTGACACCTTTAATTAAATATATGCAGTAAAATAACAATGTCAGTGTAAATAGAATCAATATTCTAAGTTCGCTTAGAATAGAATACCTTCATCTGTCCGCTTCTTTTCTATTGTATTCTTCACGTTTTGGTCATCACTATCATCATCACTATTATCATTATTATTTAAAAATCCATTTCTGGGTCGAAAATATCGTGCTTCGTTGCCTTTAATTATAGAAACTTATTAGAAAATTACTGTTCAAACTCATATCAAGTATGCGTACGTTTTGCTACGAAGTGTTTGAAAAGCTTTGATAATCCAAACCGAAACATTGTATTAATTAAAATTGAAATTTAGTTTGATAATTTTTTCTTATTAGAACAAGCCTGTTAACTGAAAAGAAGAAGTGAATTTAAGTGAATTTATGTATGTAAAAATCTAATTTACGTATATAGATCTTAATTATTTAATCAATTTTATATTGAGTTATAAAAATATATGCTATGTAATAGTGTCTAATCTACTATAAACGGCTATGTAATAGTGTCTAAATGGACAAATTCATCACTTGTACATAAATTTCAGAATATTTTGAATATCACCTCAACCGAGTAAACAGAATAAAAAATTCCAAAATTTATCAAACTTTATTGCTTTTCAAAACAAAGACTAAGAGTAAGTTCGTCAAAGGGACCAAGATGTTGCATTTCCTGAAAAACAGCTAACTAATAACTATCATCTCCACTGATTATCTTCACTAATGAAAAATGACATATAGTCGCACAACCGCTTTATATTTGGGTAGAACGACAGTGAACTGCTGGGAAATTTCCAATGAATTCACATTGAATTGGTTAGAAAAGGTACTCTGTGTGTGAACTTTTAACATATTTTTACGATATAACAAAACCAGTGGCTCAGTTAATGTTCAGTCAACCTGTGCAGTTAACATATCATACCCCTACAGACCTTATTTACAAATTTTTCTTAAATAACTTAACAATACATAAAACTCACCAAATCAAAAGTTGTATCACCAACATATCCCAGAACTATCCATCTATTATACTAATTCTAATCCTGTTTACATTGCCTCCTCTAAAACGAAGGCATTTAAAATATGCATACATTAGACATTAAATAAATATTAACCCTCATTATGATATTTACTACAAAATATTTATCTATTATCATTGTCAGACTTGTCAGTTACAGTAAGTACTTGTATGCAAATTAATCTAGAGTCTAAAGTCGAATACCTCAAGAGCCACTAATGCTATTCCTTATTTTTGAAATATATATTGATTATATGATTAAATTAAAAAACCATGTTAATTATAATTCTTACCTCTTGTAGAAACACTGAAACTATTCAACACAACTACAGAAACAAAGAATAAAATAATTTCTGTGAATTTTGTTATAATATTTTTATAATCTTTATATCGACAGATAAAACAAAGAAGAATGAAAACTTATACTTAAAACAAGTTTGAACTATAGTTGTCTACCAGTATTCAGTGCTTGAGTTTTTATCCAGTAATTGCAATACATGCCTAGATGATACCTAGAAGATACCTACATCCTGAAGTGGACTAGAGGTGGAGTTACTTTTTATCAATGAGACCAAAACCCGAATCCTGTTATTCATTAACGCAAAATATTAACAATATCAGCAAATAGTTATCCAAGAGAAAGATATTTCATTTGTGCCAGTTAATTCCATAATTTGGACTTGAAAATTATAACTCATAACTCCTAGAAGAGCGTATATTCCTTATATCTTAATTATATTAATTTCGTGGTCTATATTACATATCTTAATATTTAATATGCATGACCTATTCAAAAACGAGCATTGTGGATTCAAGTAAATATTTATAAACACAATACTAGTTTAATAGTCAAGAATAAAAATGTATTCCCTTACACCTTGAATATGTTATAGTCAGTTCAGATTCAACATGTTTTAAGCTTTAGCATTCTGGATGTGACTTAGTATTGCTTTACCACTATATAAGAAATACAAACTAGATAAGTAATATGATTTTCTATGCCAGATTAACACTGAGTAAAGAAAGAAGTTGTCGCAAATGAGTACGTTTGGATTTCTTCCACGCTTGTGTGATCCGAAATCAGAGAAAGACACCAACATAAGTTAATCAACAAGACACGAAAAGTATGCTATTATGTTAATTTTTAAAATAACTCTGAAAAAGGTTTAGATTGCTTCGTAAGGATATTTATTATTGTGTTTTGCTTGTTTAATCCAATATAATTTTAAATAAAAACGCTGTTTTTCTGCCTGTTTTTGTTCTTTATTATTATGTATTGTTTTTAAAAATATTTGAGTACTATAGTTCATTCCACATAATCATTTAAGAATTGTTAAAAATACACATCAAGCTTTAAGCCATTGTTGAAAATCTTTCTATAATTATTTCAAGTACTTAAAGTATGTAAAATTACATATATTTTATAATAAGATCATTCCGACGTAGTTATTGGCGATCACTGCATAATATACCTACTTATGTTAATGTTATATTTTTAATCATTTTTTTTATTAAGAATTTTAGACTTTAATAGGTCGGTTTTTTTTTCATTCGTATATTCCGAAAATGAAGATCTGGCAAACCCATCACGTCCCATTGTACGCAACTTAATGTCAGACTTTTCAGGGTGAACCAATTCCTAACAAATAACAAAACTTTATTTAAAATATATTATTTTTATAATTGAAATAGTTACCTCCATATGTTTTGTTTTCCTGCTTTCATTTTTTTTGAGACTATCAAGCTGTTGTGATACTTCGCGAAATTCTTTGTACTTAATGGATGCCTTCGTAAGATTGTACTCTTCTATTTCTTGGAGAGCTATTTCATCACTTCTATTTTCTATATTCTCATCTGTCGGGAAAACATAACTTACTGACCAGATAATGTAAATAAATAAAATTAGGAAATTTTTAATTTAATAAGAATTCTTTTTAAGTTCACATTTCACAACCTAGTAACAAGGAACCTACAAAATATAGTACTCAAGTATATATTGTCAGAATAATGTAATGAGTAGTAATCATATAATAATTCAATTGTAATTTAATAATAATCAGACCCAATAATCATATTATTCGTATAATAAACAGATTATATTATATATTAATGCCAGACAGCTTTGATGTTCGTTATTGGAGACATGTGGTTATTAGCCGCAAGGAGTAGAAAACTGTGGTGAAACACTCTCGTCTGATTCCGGCAAAACACAAGTTTTTATGCTACATGCTAGCACTTTTGCTAATTCTTGGCATGGTTTAAACCGTTTTCAATGCTGCTACATTGCACTTTAACCATTCCATTTTTAAGCTTATACTTTAGTTAGTAAATGAAATTTAATTAAGCGATTTATATGCAGAGTAACGTGTTTAATGTAAAATTTAATTATTTTATTTGGGGATGTTGATGACGTGATTTTTCATATTTTTTTCTCTTACCGTTTCTTTTCCTCTCTTTATTTATGTATATGTAAGATGCACTTACAATTGTGTACTACGATGAATTATTTAAATTGTATAAACGAAGCCACGAAGGGTCTCACTTAACGAAATCTTTGATTTAGACAATCTTTACATACTACACATATTCGAAAAAGTCAACGCAGGATCATTAACTTTCTAGTAATAAATTAAAAAAACATTTCTATATCAAATATTACATGAATGCAAATGGAATTGTCCTCTGAGAAGTATAGAACTATATTTTTATTGTTATTATATTTTCGAAATTATAAAGAATTTTAAAGGGAGATTAAAATATAGATTCTAACTTATCATTACATTACTTACTATGATTAGTTGTTTGTTCATCAATTACTTTATGATCGTGTTTTGTGTTATCAGCTTCGCTGTTAATTGCTTCATCCAGAAATTTTAAGCCCTTTTTAGGAACTCCTTTACCAACATATAAATTATGTAAAATTATTCAGCATTCAACAGTCACATATATCAAACCATTATTATAGATCACTTACCACTGTACGAAGGTTTTTCAATAACTTGATCACCAATGAGCTTTATATCTCCCAAGGACTTTGATCCACAAGGTCTTGCTGTGACACCTTTAATTAAATATATGCAGTAAAATAACAATGTCAGTGTAAATAGAATCAATATTCTAAGTTCGCTTAGAATAGAATACCTTCATCTGTCCGCTTCTTTTCTATTGTATTCTTCACGTTTTGGTCATCACTATCATCATCACTATTATCATTATTATTTAAAAATCCATTTCTGGGTCGAAAATATCGTGCTTCGTTGCCTTTAATTATAGAAACTTATTAGAAAATTACTGTTCAAACTCATATCAAGTATGCGTACGTTTTGCTACGAAGTGTTTGAAAAGCTTTGATAATCCAAACCGAAACATTGTATTAATTAAAATTGAAATTTAGTTTGATAATTTTTTCTTATTAGAACAAGCCTGTTAACTGAAAAGAAGAAGTGAATTTAAGTGAATTTATATATGTAAAAATCTAATTTACGTATATAGATCTTAATTATTTAATCAATTTTATATTGAGTTATAAAAATATATGCTATGTAATAGTGTCTAATCTACTATAAACGGCTATGTAATAGTGTCTAAATGGACAAATTCATCACTTGTACATAAATTTCAGAATATTTTGAATATCACCTCAACCGAGTAAACAGAATAAAAAATTCCAAAATTTATCAAACTTTATTGCTTTTCAAAACAAAGACTAAGAGTAAGTTCGTCAAAGGGACCAAGATGTTGCATTTCCTGAAAAACAGCTAACTAATAACTATCATCTCCACTGATTATCTTCACTAATGAAAAATGACATATAGTCGCACAACCGCTTTATATTTGGGTAGAACGACAGTGAACTGCTGGGAAATTTCCAATGAATTCACATTGAATTGGTTAGAAAAGGTACTCTGTGTGTGAACTTTTAACATATTTTTACGATATAACAAAACCAGTGGCTCAGTTAATGTTCAGTCAACCTGTGCAGTTAACATATCATACCCCTACAGACCTTATTTACAAATTTTTCTTAAATAACTTAACAATACATAAAACTCACCAAATCAAAAGTTGTATCACCAACATATCCCAGAACTATCCATCTATTATACTAATTCTAATCCTGTTTACATTGCCTCCTCTAAAACGAAGGCATTTAAAATATGCATACATTAGACATTAAATAAATATTAACCCTCATTATGATATTTACTACAAAATATTTATCTATTATCATTGTCAGACTTGTCAGTTACAGTAAGTACTTGTATGCAAATTAATCTAGAGTCTAAAGTCGAATACCTCAAGAGCCACTAATGCTATTCCTTATTTTTGAAATATATATTGATTATATGATTAAATTAAAAAACCATGTTAATTATAATTCTTACCTCTTGTAGAAACACTGAAACTATTCAACACAACTACAGAAACAAAGAATAAAATAATTTCTGTGAATTTTGTTATAATATTTTTATAATCTTTATATCGACAGATAAAACAAAGAAGAATGAAAACTTATACTTAAAACAAGTTTGAACTATAGTTGTCTACCAGTATTCAGTGCTTGAGTTTTTATCCAGTAATTGCAATACATGCCTAGATGATACCTAGAAGATACCTACATCCTGAAGTGGACTAGAGGTGGAGTTACTTTTTATCAATGAGACCAAAACCCGAATCCTGTTATTCATTAACGCAAAATATTAACAATATCAGCAAATAGTTATCCAAGAGAAAGATATTTCATTTGTGCCAGTTAATTCCATAATTTGGACTTGAAAATTATAACTCATAACTCCTAGAAGAGCGTATATTCCTTATATCTTAATTATATTAATTTCGTGGTCTATATTACATATCTTAATATTTAATATGCATGACCTATTCAAAAACGAGCATTGTGGATTCAAGTAAATATTTATAAACACAATACTAGTTTAATAGTCAAGAATAAAAATGTATTCCCTTACACCTTGAATATGTTATAGTCAGTTCAGATTCAACATGTTTTAAGCTTTAGCATTCTGGATGTGACTTAGTATTGCTTTACCACTATATAAGAAATACAAACTAGATAAGTAATATGATTTTCTATGCCAGATTAACACTGAGTAAAGAAAGAAGTTGTCGCAAATGAGTACGTTTGGATTTCTTCCACGCTTGTGTGATCCGAAATCAGAGAAAGACACCAACATAAGTTAATCAACAAGACACGAAAAGTATGCTATTATGTTAATTTTTAAAATAACTCTGAAAAAGGTTTAGATTGCTTCGTAAGGATATTTATTATTGTGTTTTGCTTGTTTAATCCAATATAATTTTAAATAAA